CAATTTCTCATTTTCTTATCCACTTATTCCGGTAATTATGTAAATTTGCTATACGTTTTGTCTCTCAAGTGAAGACATTATGCACTTGAAGGACGATAAAATCACCTTTGCGTTTAAACGTTAATGTTAAATACATTTATTGTCACATTTAATTCACCATTAGTCACTACTAGTCAAATTCATTCACTACTGAATGTACACAGCGGAAAAAAACGACACATCTTTTGTTATGAGTAACTTGTAATGTATCCTCTTGGATAATCTGAAAGATGTTTCATTTTACGATTGCTCATAGTTTTTATAGTAAGTTTATGGCAAATTTTAGTATCCAACTTTACATTAGCCTAATATTTAGTTTGAATGTTCATCCTTGTTAGCGACATTGACATAACAAGAACTTATTTTTAGCATGTTGTTATAACAATTTGTTAATGTAAATATCTCTCCTTCAGAGTTTTTCAACAATACGTATTATTGAAAATGATTTCTATACATTTTTTGAATTCTGATAACTTCTCTAGACAGTGTGACCAGTGAAGTTCGCGTCATATGGCATTTTTCCTAGGTATTAAAAGATTTATTCGAAATTTGACTTTGGCAGCAATCTCTGCCATGATAAAGATGGAGAAATAAGTAAAAAGTGTAGTCACGTGTCAAATTTAATTTTTCCAGAAGAAATACAGAAGTGGGGAATATATTTACTACTATTTTTTGAATCAATCTACTGTTTTTCCTAAAACGAAGTCTACTGCCAAGCATGAACATGTACTGCAAAGCAGAATCTTCCAGGATTGGCTCACTCCAAGGATTTTATTCACCCTTTGAAGCTTGATTCCAAACAGTTGTTGGACTACAGTAGGGACTACGATGTCTAACAGGCCTTCTTACAGGCCACTGTCATTTGAATCATCACATATAGAGACTTGGACTGTCGGAAGACAGTGTGTGTTGCCTCTGTCTGGAAAATGATGAAACTGCAGAGCATATACTTTGTGCCTGTCCCGCTGGGGACCGAATCAGGTGCTTTGAGTTCGGCAGATCCGTAGACTCACCATTTGACCTGAAAGACCACTCACTCGGATTCGTCAAGAAGCTGGGTTTATTTGGCCGAGTGTGAATAGGTGTGAGCCACAATAAACCCTTATGGGTTGCGGTGGAGGGTCGAATAGACCCACTCACTTCAGACCTACCTACCTACCTACCTACTGCAAAGCATGAACATGGCTTGACAAAACTGGGTGACTTCATGCTTCATAATATAAATTCAGGTAATAACTGAACAGAATATTTATTCATTCTGAGGCTCATCGGTGTCCAATAACTGTCCTAAACGTCTCCTGTTGTAGAGAATCCACACTTGAGATTTTTGACTTGACCAATACGTTTTAAACTAGGCTAACGCCTAGTACTTTCGCCATCCTACGCACCCTTTATGATGGGTCAGTCTCCACTAAGGTTCTCAGACCTTCGGTCCTAGATTACTGTAGGTCAACCACTTCGGGACTCACCTTCAAGACTAAAATCCCCGGAACGGAATTTCGCAAACCAACATGAACAGTACGTTTTTCAACACAGCAAAAATTACACAGCATCTTCTCTCAAACAGTTCCACTGAAAACATTGAAAACACGTAAATTTCCCCCATGGTTCGACGCCGACGTTATCAGCCATATAAAGAAAAAGGAATTAGCATATAAAAACTATAATGAATATAAAACAGCATTTTATCAAAATCAATTCTCGGATCTGAGAAAAACTGTCAAAACTAAAATANTGGCTCCGGGCACTGAAATTCACACCGACGGGTGGAAACCTTACCTATCCCTCTCCAATGAAGGATATGTCCACAAAACCGTTAACCACAGTAAGAAAGGCAAAGGACGGTTCGTCGATCAACAAACCGGTGCACACACTCAGACAATAGAAGGAAGTTGGAAATGGTTGAAACACGATTTGGAAGAGCGTGGTTACAGTGGTGATGACCTGACCATGCACATGTGCGAATATCTCTGGCGTCGGGAAGTCTGTCACAATAAGTTGGATCCCTTCTTAGAACTCATTAAATGTATAAAAAGTCAGTTCAAACCAAAATATATGTAATAGAATAATATGAATAAAAAATATTTTTTGTCATTTCCTCGCGATGAAACCCATACCATTGTGTTCCTTTCATCGTTCCCTTTCGATTGATATGTCACTCCCCCTGGTGGGCGTTATCCCAAATACTAAAGTCCTGCCAAAACATCTTGGTATAACATACGACAGTAAATTAACATTTACAGCACATATAAGGAATATGACTGCTGATGCAAATAGGATGCTTGGATTCATTTACAGAAATGGCAAAAACTTCAAAAGTATTGCCACCTAAAAATTGCTATATTTTGCGTGTGACAGATCTAAGTTAGAGTATGGCTCTGTGTTATGGAATCCAGTTTACGATTACCAAAAAACATCCAATTGATAACGTGCAAAGGAAGTTCCTAAAATACTTATGTCATACTTATGACATTTCTGGAAAATGGGAGAGTTATCCTTGGTATAAAATTCCTGCATAAATTACTGAAAAAAAAATTGACAGTACGGTTCTTTTACCCGAGATCAATTTCTTAGTACCAAGAAGTGAAGGTCGACACAATCTGAAATTCTACTGCGAAGCATCACGCACAAATCTCATGCTACGATCACCATTGAATTTTGTATGCAGTAGCTTCAATAAAATCTGTTAACACTGCGATATTCATTTCGACTCTCTAAACGCGTTGGTATCTTGTATCCACAATCACATTTAACAATACTATAAGTAACATTTGTGTCAGTACTGCTACATTGCATGATTTTTAACTTTTTGCGTTATGTACTCTTTTTTTCATTCCTCTTTTGAAATTCTACTTATACGAATATTTTATATATACTTTGTTATAGCATTTACATTTTTATATTCCATTATTTTCAATATTTATTTCATATATACTCTGTAATAATAGCATTTCCTGTAACTGTAACAATATGGTGGTATCACCTTCAATACAACCAATTTCACACCAAAATGGCAACATTGAAATCTACGTTATTTGAGACATTACTATTACGACATCTGTTATATTACAATGATATCACGAAACTTTATATAATATTTTATATTTCATGTGAAATATCATATCATATTTTAATATCATGACTGCTGTGTCATGATATTAAAAGACCATCCAATATCAGCGATTTTTAAAAACGGGGTTGAATACATTTCCGTCCTCTTACACAGTGCTCCAAAGCGTCACGTATTATTTTTGTTTGGATTCTTCAATCAGTTTCAAATATATCTTCATAGCTAAATATACAGGGAATCAGCTGTCAACCTCTTTATAATCCAAAATCAAAGCCTGAAGATCCTCTTTAGCGTCCTGAAATTCTCCTTCTTCCATACCTTCACCTACGTAGTGGTGAACGAATGATCTCTTCGAGTACAACAAACTGAATTTCTGGAGCAATCGCTCCCAAGCCTCTCTTATAGCAGTACTGTTAGAAAGCATCGTAACAGCCCTAGTTACTCTAGCAAGATCACCACCAGGTACCGCCACGGGTGGCATGTAGTTGATCCCTACTTTGAACCCTGTTGGACACCAGTCTACGAATTGTATCGATCGTTTACTTTNTAGGACAATGTCTATAATATATAATTATATAAATATAATCAGTTTATTTCTCAACAATTTTCAAAATTGGTTTGATATTAGATATATTCCCAGAAATCTCGGTATAGACATCAAAGCATCAACACAGAATAATGATGTTATTTACACTTTTCTTGGTCGCATCGCTGGTAGTTTCTGTGTACTTCTGCTATTATCATTAATGTTTGCTAATGTCTAGTGCAAACGTAAATACATTCCTTGTTGATAATGTAATCAACTCGTTCATAAGACTGTGTTGGCCAGGTTGGTTCTTACTTGGAATCACTTCTAGCCGTCATCAACCACAAATTATTGGCGCAATATAAGGAATGTCGTGAATCAACAAGTTTCTGGGGAAATTCCTTTCACAGATTCCACAAATTTCATTATTCCTTATACAATTTATCGCAAACACTTTTTCCACTCCAGAACGCAAGTACTGTGTCCCGTTATACCTTTCGCTAACCAAGTTAGCATCATCTTGAGATGACCTAAACTAGAGCATACACTATGTTGAGCATTTGGGGAAAAAAGTTTTAGCTTTCTATACTTCTCCATATTTGTACAAAAAATGGGGGAATCTTCCAAAGAAAAGAACGAAGTAAATCTCAAAATGAACTTTTTACAAAGATGTGAATATCATGCGAAAGAGTAACTTTCAGACAAAAACTGGAAGAAAAGGCCCTTTTGAAATGACTACTTTAATAGAAACATATCTTATACACATCTGGATAGTCCATCATATTCCTCATCAAGTGAATTCCTAGAAGTGGTCATTTTATTTTGTTATTGCACTCTAATTCTCAATTCATATGTTGGTGACCACCCCTTATAATACCTAATAAATACTTAGTTTCCACCTGTACTTATTACATTATATCAATCAATCAAAGCCGTTCTCAACAATTTTAAGCCATACTCGCTTATTTTGTGGTCATTCTCTGAAACATGTAGAGCGACACTAGACTTTTCTGGTCTATGAAACCGAATATGTGTACACTGTATGGTTTCAATAGTCATTTTACTGAATCGATAAGGAATAACTGAAAGACATTATGTGTCTCGTTCATGAGATCAAAGGAGATTAGTGCAAATTCTATACTTTTGACTAATCAGCAATGTCAAAGTTAACTATATTTGTAAAGACGAAAAACCATGACAACTTATTGTTTGCCATGAATTTAATATACATTTTATTACCAATCTTCCAAGGACTAATTATCAAGAAGATGCACATTATTGGTCTATAACAAGGAGTAATTCATAATTCATAAAATCGATCATTCGCTTGACATACCATTCAGCCACTGTTTGTATCAGAAAATAATGAAAATGCAACTATGACAACTATCTACGTGAATAGAATGACTTCAGTTCAGTTCAGTGAAGAGTTAAAAGCTCCAAACAATTCCTTAAAACAACTCTAGTGTTACCTAACGATATGTCGAGTCCTGTAGATTACAAATCTGCGAAGTCTATATACGAATTCACTGCTAACGATATCAGAGGAAACCCTGTTTCTTTGGACAAATACGAAGGACACGTTTGCATAATCGTGAATGTGGCCTCTGAATGTGGCTTCACAAATCTGAATTACTCCGAACTCAACAAACTCTACGAAGAATATTCAGAGTCCAAAGGATTGCGTATTCTAGCATTTCCCTGCAACCAATTCGCCGGGAACGAACCAGGCTCCAGCGACGAAATTTGTGAATTTGTGAAGTCGAGGAAAGTTAAGTTTGACATGTTCGAGAAAATTCACGTGAATGGAAGCGACAGTCATCCTTTGTGGAAGTACTTGAAACGTGAACAGGGTGGGATTCTGGGGGATTTCATCAAGTGGAATTTCACAAAGTTCATCATCGATAAAAATGGAAATCCAGTGGAGAGGCACGGGCCTAGCACAAGTCCGAAAGAACTGGTTGAGTCTTTAGAGAAATACTGGTGAGGTTTCAATGGATCCTCGTTATAAAATCAAGATATCCTTGTTCTGTGATAGTTAATAAAACTTCAGTAAGAGAGTGGTAGCTAATTAATTGTAATCAACCCATCAACTTAAGGTACTGATAAAATTGAGTTGCAGTTGTAGTAGTAGGTCGCTCTGTGACCAGGTTGTGCCAGATTCGTACCGACTAAAAAACCAATCATGAGTCAAGCAGGCTACTCTGAAACCGTCCTCAAAGCTCTCCCTTTTTCTTCAGTACGTCATCATTATTTATTTAGTTCTTTTCTTTGTCGGGGTGGTCTTGGAGAGTTTGTTAACGGCTTCCCAGTATTCTTAATTTGTGATTTGTGATAATTGTCATATCGTCATTTCTGCGTTTCGTCACTGTCCTTCTCAAGATATGCATTCAAATAGTACCATCCATGGTACTATGTTTCTTATCAGTCAGTTTCTTGTCCAGTTGGCCTTTCCATCATCTATCTCCCAAGGTTGTTGCCATTTCTCGATAATTTGTGAGCTTGCTATTTCTTTCCTTGCATTGTTTTGTATCATTGTTCTCTCTTCCACCAGCAGATCTATTGGGGGGTTATTGCAATTAGCAGAGCTTTGGCTGATGTTATTCTACATATATAATAATAATTATGATAATGTTTATTCATAAATAGCGAAAAAATACAGACCTTCTATTGTTACAAAATCAAATGATTGAAAAAACTTAGTAATATGAGGCTTAGAATAAACAAAAAATCCACCGAAGCTGATATTATCAGCTTGTGTGTGGTGACACATTATTATGGTATGATGTTGACGAATCAAATGTAATACAGTCAAATTAATGGAAAAGGAAACAAGGGTAAAAATGAGATTTTAGGTTAACCAGAAGAATGTGTTTTCAACTAGCTTGAGAGTTTCATATATAGCTTAATTGTAAAGAGAGCAGTAGACGAAAGTTGGAACAAAGATGGCTCAAGAAAAGTGTAAACAATATAATTTTTTTCCAAGGAAATAATACTGAATAATAATACCAAAAATTTCATAAAAATAAAATTACTATTCAGGTTATCATAACGATAAGATTGAGAGTATTCAGCAGAATATACGAATTGTAACTATAATTTGTTGTGAAGTAAGGATAATTGGTACAAATGAATCGTTTCAAACGTTATATTTACGTCATAAATTAATCATGAAATACGGGGCAAGCGCGATCATCAAAATCAGGAAAGTATAACTTGTGTTGATATGATAATGGCATGCCTCAGATTTCCACAGAACTATTGTGTGAAAGAAATTATTTTAAATAGCCTTAACTTATAATATCAATCATAGTAGGTATTTTTTATATATAATCGATGTGTTAAAATTCTTGATCTTGAAGTCAGCCATAATTTCGGATTCTTCTTGAACAGAGATAATGAGTTTAGTTGTTTCAATTCAGTTGGTAGATCGTTGTATATCTTTGGCCCAAGAAACATGCTAGATCTCTGGGCTATAGTTTTAGTCACATGTGGAACTGAAATGGTAAATTTTTTTGACCTTGTGGAGTAGGAATAATCTAGAAATATTTTGCTTCGATTTTTTTGCAAGTGTCAAATGAAATATTTGTTTTACATCTAATATATTGCCAAGCTTGTAAAGGCCATCTTATGGGTAGGTAATTGGTTTTCTGACTATTATTTTCAAAATCTATTTTTGAATTACTTTAACATTCTTTATAATGTTATTATATGCCCCTCCCCAAGCTATTATGCCATGTCTCAGTTGGGATTCCACTAATGCGCAATACAGAATTGAGAGATGTTTTTCTTCAAGAATGTTTCTTAAATATTTGAATTTAGACAATAGGCTTCTAATTTTTTGCACTAACTTCCTAATGTATAAGTTCCATTTTAAATGATTGTCTATCGTTACAACGACATACTCTATTTCTGTAGCTTGTGTGATTTTCACGATGCTGTTTTCACCTCTGATTTCAAGGGGTTGAAGACTGGGTAAGTTTTTCTTATTCACTGAAAAGGCTAGATATTTTATTAAAAAAAAAATGTATAGTCAATAGTTTGAAATTGAGCCAGTCAATGATTGTTTTAAAGTCATTTTGTGCATTAGTGATGAGCGAGTTTCAGTTTTCGGCTTCATAAAAAACTGCTGTGTCTACTGCATAGCTACTGTGAAAAGAATTGGACCAAGTATGGTGCCTTGAGGTACCCCAAACTTCATCACTTCATATTTACTTAAAGTATTACCTACTTTGACACACTGCTTTCTCTGACTCAAGTAACTTTTTATGAGAGTTAAACACGTTCCACGAACACCTAAATATTCTAGAGAACGTTTAGGAGTTTATTATGATTGACAGTATCGAGCGCCTTGGCCAGATCAACGAATATGCAGAGGCTTACTACTATCAAAGGATTTATAAACTTGTGTAGTTATTTCCTTTATTGCATCCTGTGTTGATCTGGCCTCTCTAAATCCAAACTGTCTAGATGAGAGGAGATTATATTTCTCAAAAAAAATCTGTTAACCTTCTCTTCAAAATATATTCTGGAATTTTAGTTATACCAGTGATTAGAGAAATCGATCTATAATTTATGCATTTAAATATTTCTCCTTTATTAAAAATGGGTTAAGTAACTGTCTCGTCTTTGATGATTCAGGCCAATATCCTGTCGTTAGTATTTTATTGATGAGCAGTGTTAGTGGCTCTTTAATATATTCTTTAATATGCTGCAGAACTTCTACTGACATTTCATCTATTCCTGGTACTTTGTGTTTTTTTAAGTTGTTAATTATTTCTTCAACTTCATCTATATCTGCTTCTGTTAAATATATTGAGCTTTGTTTAACAGTTCTGAGCTCTTTATGATTCCGAGGAGTTTCTATTTTGAGCACTAGGTCCTGAGCAAGCAGCATTTACTGTTATAATAATTAGCCTTAGATTTCTTCAACAATGTATTCAATTTATTTCTATAAGTTTTGAATTGTCTTAATAGAGAATGATTTTCTTTATCAAGTTTCCATTGATTGAATAACATATTCCTTCTGGCGACAGAGTTTACTAGAGGTGTGGTTATCCAAGGTTGTCTCTTTTTTTGTATTTTATTTGTCAACTCTTTTGTACTGGCATTCAATATTTCTTTTATTTTTTTTATGAATAGATCAGTTGCTGATTCTACGTCCTCTGTTATATAGAAGCTGTCCCACTTTTCACATTTCATTAATATTTTCTTATTGTCAAATTTCTCTTTGTTCAGGTTCTTATCGGTTTTAAATTCAATCATAGTCGTGAATTGATCTGTGATGTGAGTATTCAGTAGAAAAGGAGACACATACTATTTTTATTGCTGCATTTCTTTGAACACTTAGTAATAGTAGTATATTCCTATATATCTTTTCTCCCATGGCTAGAAAAATATAAATAAAATATATTACTAAATACTTTACCATATTACTATACTATATTACTTTTCCTATGTATTACTTTTTCGAGTTTTGTAACTTAGTCTTTTAGTTCTATCACTTTTTTGTCAAAACTTTACTACAAAAAATTACACCGATATATGTTTTTGTAGGTAAAAGAAACCTTTTTCAACATAGTTTCTATACATTTTACCCTTTAGCCAACGATACAACTGATGATAGGCATATGTTTGCCCGAAACATATATTTCCCAGAATTTATAGAAACAAATTTGCCAATGACCATGTTTTTTCGTCTGTAACAAAAAAAAGTGATACTCACTTTTCAAGCCATCCCTATAAAACTGAATATCAACTGCTTAGTTATTTTCCAGAAGTCAATATTTTATAGTTCCCAATAAAATTAACGTTCCATACAGACGTATTATGGTTAGTCTAATTAGTCTACATACAAAGGTATTTATTATAGCTCGAAATCATTTATGGAAAGTGTCAACAATTGAGACTAGATATCATGGGCATCTGAAGATATTCCCCTTTTTTTTCATTCAATCATTTTATTCCCAAAGCATTGATCAGACCATATTTTTTTATTCTGTTTCTCATCAAACAGAAGCAGTAACTTTGAACTCAAGTGGTTTGGATGGTACAAAATCAGTTAAACAGGTGACGCCACATCAGCCAATTCGATATTATCTTGCTGTGTAGACAGAATTATTATAATCGTATTATTCATTATAGGCAACCAAACATACATCCTTCTCATAATTGGGTTGAAGTTGATCATTGAACGTTGCTATGTACGAAGCTCCTTTACTTCAAACGATGTGAAAACTCTTACACGTTTCTCCGTTAGATGGCGTAGCACCATCGACTACAATATGTCACTAGTTTGATCTAGAGATAGATGTTAAGTAGTCAGAAAAGACGACCGTAAAGCATACTTACCTGGCGTAGGGGTCAACCGTGATCAACAAGGCGGTTCCCCCAGGACGAGGCCCTTCCATTGCACTTCGGCTGGGCTGACACCTGCGATTATCCCTAATGCGGATAACTCGGGCGCGTAATTTTTGGTAGTCGGGACTGCGTACGCGCTGTCCCGGTGTTCGTTAAATCTAAACATAAATAAGACATCTGTTGTCACAAAGCGTAATATATTTAGCGAATCATTCATTGATGGATGCATTCACCTAGTCAAAAGGATTACGACTTATTATAGAACACTGTAATGAAAACATAGATGTAAGACCGATTAATCATTGAATAAATAATAAAATATTTTTAAGTCATGATAACCATGTTCAATTCAATATTCGAATTTGGTAGGAAGTTACGGGAGTTCATAAAACAACACAAATTCACAAAATAATTGAATTGTGGCCCTCGAGGATTTGTTTTTTTATTAACGCACAATCACTTGAAAAAGCTAATGTTTTACCGAAACATGTGATATATTTTTCAAATAAAGTTTGTGGAGATCAAATCGTTGAGGTGTAGTTTTTGAAATTACTATGGATCTTCATCAAGTAACGACCGAATCAATCAGAAAAAAAAAACAATATGACTTTGTTACTTGAATCATAATTCACATCGTCACGTTGAGAATTCCTAAGACAGTAGAAAGTTTATTAGCATAGAATTTTCTTTGTATATAGACAATCCGCATTATTTGTAAAGTATCGCCGCATAGCAGTCAAGAGCCAAAGCAACGCATACATGAGGAGGGGATATGCATGTATTGAAACAAGTTGTTTTGATTTGACCATTAGACAATAGATGGCACAGACCTTCCTAGCACCAATTTGTATTCATAAAAATTGTATGGATAGTACAAGAATATTCAATATTATTTTCCATTAGTTATTGGGCCCTATAGTTTGTTAACTAGAGAATCTTCACTTAGCGAAGTACTGTCTTACGATATCAGCTAATCACTCATTGTCGGTGACAGTGATATCAGCACAGATACCTTGAGCCAATTTGATTCAAGCAGCAAGGGACGGAGAATGAATTTCACCCAACATGGAAGCAGTAGAATGCTAAGGACCATGGAGAGGTATTATGGCCACACTCTCCTGAGCTTGCGTAGGTCAGCCGTCGAAGAAGCTGTAGTCTGCAACCTGTGGATTTCAATACAAACACAATTATAAATCATTTGCTAACTTAATCTGTTGAAACCGTTCCAAATTTGGCCACATGTGCGCTAATATACTATTAATTAATCAAATGAATAAAAGTGATGAGACCGACGCTGACAAAATGACGCATGGGTCTCGCTGACATACATATTCAGTTTTTCTATAAAATATTTGAGTTTTTACAAATACTGCTGACAACGCACTTTTTTTCTTTCTTTTCAGATTGTAATCTGTACCGTGCTGCCATCTTGTGACGTTCAATCTAAGTAAACGTTACTCACATCAAATTACAGTTTCCTGTCATTCGGTAGTTTTTCAGATATTTACGTACCTTTGAGTTAGACAACTAGCACTTCGTTAGTGGAAAGTACTTTTTCTAGGACAATGTCTGTCCCGGTTAAGTATTTTTCAATGTCAGCCGTCAACCGACATTTTTTCGATTTGAGCACTTGAGATATTTCTCAGTTAGGTGCGACACGCTGGTTTTTCTTTGAATTATTCAAATGTAATCATTATTCCAACATTTTTTGCTAAGCTCCTTGGATAACCGAGGTTATTGGAAACTATCGCGAAATTTGTGCTCTGAAAGGATGTCTGAAGTTGATATTTCAAGATTGTGAAGAAATTTTTGGATTCGTCATAAGTTGAACTAACAACATCATTCATCATGATTTTGTTACATAAATCATAATTCATATCATTCAGTTGGAGAATTCTCAACACAGTACTTATAAACTCAACTGAGGAAGGAACGGTATCGGCAGCTCGAGTACAAATCATATTTAACTACCATATTATTGAAATTATGTCAATCTTCAAACAATCTTCTAACATGAGTCAAGGCAACGCATACATAAGGTGAAGATATGCATGTGTTGAAGCATGTCACTCTAATTTGACCGTCAAACAGATGGCATAGATCTTCCGATCACCAATTTGTACTCATAAAAACTGTATGAATAGTACAGAAAAATTATGTCTAAATTATGTCTCCAGGTCTATTGGGCTCTATGGGTTGTAGACTAGAAAATCTTCACTAGTGTAGAAACTGATCCACCAGTTTGGCACTCTTTGTCAATGACAGTGTTACTTGCAGATACTTGCATCGATGATATCGGCACAATGTCGGTTCAAGCAGCAGCGGAAGGGGAACGACATACTGATCCATACAAGAGTAATATGGCCACATTTGTGGGGTCAGTCTTCGAAGCTGCTGTAGTCTGCAACCTGTAGATTTCAATTTAAACATTATTTATACCTACTATCTTCTTACTGCTGAAACCTATTACAATGTTGGTGGATCCGCGTTCCGCTAATACTATTATTTATTTAAACACATATAGTGTATGGCTTACCTGCACCAGGTGATTGGAAATCATCAGATTGATCGATTGGGGTACCTTACGAAGAATATTTGTTGAGATAATTTTCATTGAATCATCTGAAAATGGAACTTTTAACAGGTGATGATCGACTGTATCGCCAAACTAACTGACTATTATGAGAAAACAAGTATAGCTGAGGCACCAGTCAATCCAATAATAACACTGATGATTTTCAAACGGAACCTCTAACGGAAGCACCAAACTCTTATGAAGGTGCGAAATAAATGAACACTTCAATATTCAGTATTTCATGAAGTTTTTGGTTTTCTATTACTCCATCTTGATGCAAAAAAGGGATGAGGGAATCTTCCAAAGAAAGGAAGGAAGTAATCAATTTGATAATAAGTAACTATACAGTGTGTCAATTTGAAAACTTCCCACCCTCAATATCTCCCTTCCAGTACATAATATGAAAAAATGGTCAGACAGGTCAACTTTATTTGCAAGGGGGACACTCTGAATGAATATTTTCAACCCTCGGGGTTCAACCCCCTNTGTTTGCACTCGATGCGTATTTCGTTAACTAAGTAGTTCTACATTCCTCTCACATCCACGAATTCGAATATTACTCAAGGGTTGGAACGATGCTACCTAGTACGATGCTCACCTTTTCCAATAGTCCATTACAATCATTTGTTTTGAATACCAACCTGAATACCAAACATCTAGTGCGGGCGAGTTTTAATCATTTATTCTTATTCACTTCTAATCACCGTTCGTTTGGAACGTTATTGTTCAAAAACTGCTCATCAAAAACTAATGAAAAAGGTATCATTGGCAAGAGAATTGAATGCCCTTCAAAATGATGTGCCACTTGACCCCCCTTTCCATTTGAAATTCTGAGGGTAACATCCACCCCTCCTAGGGGGTTGAACCCCGAGGGTTGAAAATATTCATTCAGAGTGTCCCCCTTGCAAATAAAGTTGACCTGTCTGACCATTTTTTTATATTATTTACTTGAAGGGAGATATTGAGGGTGGGAAGTTTTCAAATTGACACACTGTATATAGATGTATAGATCATGCAAAAAAGTAACTTTCAGACACAAACTAAAAGAAAGTCCTCCTGAAACAGCTACTTTCATATAAACATTGAATTACACGAAAGAAAAAAACTCTTTCGAAAAAAAAGACTTCTATATGAACACTGAATTATACAGAAGATACTTTTCTCTACTCAGTTTGTATTTCAAACATTCGTTGTGGAAATAAAATCAGATATCATTCACATGAGTTCTACTTCAAATGAATAGTAACAAATTGCACTTACATGGAACACTGTCAGCCTCACTGGTATACACCGATGTTTTGCCTTGAGACACTTGCCCTAAGGCTCTTCAGTACCAAATTGGATAACATTATAGAAAATACACACACTTCATTCATCAATTACGATTTTTCAATGTCACGGAATAAGCTTGATCTGCTTATGTCATCGATGACATCGTAATGGCATTCATTCACCTATTTGATTTAATCTCCTTTACTTTACTTCCTTCCTTTCTTTGGAAGATTTCCTCATCCTTCTTTTTTTGTATCAAGATGGAGTAGTAGAAAGCCAAAAACTTTCTTTCCCAAAAATATTTTTTTACTTATTTTATTCTCAAGTTTTCAGTTTCTAATTTTGTTACTCAATTGTTCTCATTTTGTTTAGTTCATTTAATGCCTCAGTATTACAAGGTAATATATAATCCGCCATTTTGTAGCTGCGATCATGTTGGATTTGCAATGATATAGACATTATTAAATTGTATTGCCATCAAAACAAAATGTGTGTACAAACAAACACAGCAAGTTAAATTAAAACCGTTTAATAAAAAAATAACTTTATTTTCTCAACTTCTGATATATTATTTTCCATCATAACGTGGTCATTTGAAAATTATAAAACACTAGAAATTAATGCTAAACACTATTTCACTTGAAATATTACGTAGATGAGTTGTGATTCGAAATTTTTTCAATTATATCCTTCAAAGTCGTTGAAGTACCTATGACGAGTCCCAAGATGGCGAAAATAATAATGATAATATTTTGCGTCATCTTTAAGAAACCTTTGACGCCTCGCAGAGAATACCAGTGAGTGCAGGTGTAGATGATTGCAGGAAAAGCCAATCCAAGTGCCGATAGACTAAAAGCTCCAAATAATGAGATGAATAGGTCGATGTAAGGTACAGCTACAGCCAAATTGTCTGAAAAAAAAGTTAAATTCAAGAGTGGTTTGTGTCTGGGATCAACATTAAACATTATGATGACACCATGTACAAGTGGTATTCATTGTTTTACAGATGGCCGAAATACTAGTTTCGATCGAATGTGAGAAACAATAAATCGAACTTTGTCGTCTAATAATAATGATAATAGGTATTTATTCACCATGAAATGTACAATAAAAACAGACAAAAAGAATGGAAAGAAAACAATGTTAAGTATAAAGGTGAATGGAGTATCAGCCAGGGCAGTTGATCAACACAACTTGGGAATAGCAATAATTAAATAACATAACAAAAAAAAAGTTGATGAGATATCAAAACTTTATGTGTTGGTGAGTAGATGCAGTATTCTAAGTTTCTCAACTTTTAACCATCTTGATTCGTGCATGGCTAAGGATATATGGTTATATATCCGGATACCAAACGAGAAACATAGACAACTATTCTGAATACTCTGTAGTCGACGAGCATCCGATTTTCCTTGAACAAGTCCATAAATATTGTCGCAATAAGAAATTTTTGACATGATCAGTGACTCGCATAGTCTGAGTTTTGGGTTTGTGTTGATCAAATCACGATTTGAAAACAGCTGCCTGAGAACTTCAGTTCAAATAGCTGACATGTTTAGTGAAGCACAGTTCTGGATCAATACACAATCATAATTTTTTTATCTCAGTCACAGAGGAAAGTATTTCATTTTCGATGCGTACTTGAAAGGTGGAGTTGGTGAGTTCTCTGTTCTTCTTAGGTCTCAACATCATTATTGCACATTTATGGTGATTGAGTTTGAACTTATGGGCTGTATGTCGAAGATGGCTCGAGAATTTTTGTGAAAAAATGAAAAATTAACCTTTTTATGTTTTTTATTTATTTTTTCTATTCTTTTCTATTCTATTTCTTTACGACGATCTCCTACCACATAGTAATGGCTTCATCCATCAATTTATTGAAGATTGTTATTATTATGTGACAATATGACTGAGCAGATGTAGACTCACAAGGCGGAAAAGAGAAATATAATTGTACTCTTTGAGTACGATTCTTCAGATAGTTTCCTAAGAGTGTCACTGCGAAAAACCAAAGTAGACCAAAACGATCTAATAAGGACAGTTGGTGAGCAGATCTTATAAATTGATGCACGGAATTGAAGTGCTGGTCAATGAGATTGACGTCTTTTAATTCATCAGGGATATCTGAATTTTTATTGTCCCTCAGGATATCAAAAGTTCTTAAAGTATTGAAACCTTTTTTGAAAGATTTGATAACAGTAACATCTCTGTCATAGAATATTGTTTACTTTTTTCTTTGTCTCTGTTGTGTCGATGATTAATAGATAATAGGTAAGTAGGTCCAAAATGAATGGGTCTATTTGACCTAGAACTGTAACCCGCAAGGGTTTATTGTGGTTCACATCTATTTGTACTTGGCTCATCAAAAATAGCTTCATAACGAAGCCGAAAAGTTTATTGAGTGAGCGATCTTTCAGAGTGAAATTGCATGATTAGATAATAGGTAAGTAGGTCCAAAATGAATGGGTCTATTTGACCTAGAACTGTAACCCGCAAGGGTTTATTGTGGTTCACATCTATTTGTACTTGGCTCATCAAAAATAGCTTCATAACGAAGCCGAAAAGTTTATTGAGTGAGCGATCTTTCAGAGTGAAATTGCATGAGTGAAGCGATGCTAAACACTGAACACTTGGTTCTGTTCGCAGCTGGACAGGCACTTACTATGTGTTCAGCAGTTTTTATTATCTTTCAGTCTGGCCAGGCATCCAGAGAAGATACAATTTGTTATAATAAGTCTATTGAAACACTTTTTTCCCACCAGAACAGAAATACTGTATTGGTCGAGGACTAACATTATGACCCTCTAATTACCTAACCTATCCTGACCTAACATTATCTAAGTAGGAATATACTTACAACAAAAGCAAACTACGCATGTTTTAGTAACGTATTCGTAGATGGTTTGATGAGGATAATTCTTCACAAATGGCCGTACATATCGCGTCCAGATAGTGCCAAGAGCTGGGTACATTTGAAGAGGATGGGAAGTGAATATGGCCAGAGCAAGCATCACTTTGCTAACTTGTGCAGGTCTGAAAAATAGAATTAGAGATATATTCAAATTCATTTGATCAGTAGTAACTCTAACGTGAGATTTCCACTTGAACGTTCACAAAATCGCGACACGTGTTTCGCTATACAATAGCATCTTCGCCCGAAGTATACTGTATATCATACCAAAATGCTATTGTATAGATGTATACGATAGCATCTTCGGCCGAAGATACGGTATAGCATGCCAAGATTCTATTTTATAGCTGTATACAAGATGATATTGTATCGCTATATATAAGATGACATTGTATAACTGTATACAATAGTATCTTCACATGAAGATGCTGTGTAGCATGTCAATATGATATTGTATTTCTGTATACAATAGTATCTAAAGCTATAAAGCTTTGCAATAGATGCTGTTGTTTAGCTGTATATAATAGCATCTTAGCCAGTAGATGCTGCATAGCATATCGAAATAATATTGTATAGCTGCATACAAGATAATATTGTATCGCTGTATACAAGCGATAGCTGGCTGACAGCTGGTATAGCTGTATACAATAGTATATTCACTAGAAGATGCTGTATAGCATGCCAAGATGATATGATGTTGCTGTATTCAATAGCATCTACAGTTATATATCTATACAATAGATGCTATTTTATAGCTATATATTATTGTATTTACTAGCGAAATTACATGTTGTAAAGGTTCATATTGATCTATATTAAATGCACTATGTATTTAAGGTACTTTATTGGATAAGGATTAATGCTGTATTGCTGAAAACTGCTTAGTAAATAAGCAGTTATTTCTCGTGGAGAAAAATGGTTATTGTGGGTTATTCCTAAGAGATGGACATATACATCGCTGACGATATGTGACATCCATATCATCATCCAACCGTTAGTTTTTTCTGATGGAACTGACTCCTTATAACACTTTTCAAGCCATTGCTTTGCTTGAACGCTATTTTTTCCTATCAAGGAGCAGTGTAAAATTAGAACACGAAATTGTTTTTGATCCATTGTTTTTGAAAATAACAAAAGTAGTGTCACTCTTAGCACAACAATTCACAAACTTATGAGTAGAAATTCATGAAATTTCAAAAACTTTCTTTTGAAGGTTAGTACTAACTGAAAAAATGGTGAATGCAATGAGACTAGCGCGATCTATGTGTTAGGCACGAGACTCTTCAGCCCATGTGTCTTTGTGTACGATTTTACCATGTGATACTTACATTCCATTACCTATCGTGTACGATATCGAACCACCCACTTGAGAACCGTAAGCCAAATATCCATAGAATCCCATACCAGTATAGAGAACCACTATAATTGACATTCCCGAATTGAGAACTCCACAGGGGCCCAAAAACGACTTTGGTGTTTTCATTTCGTTTTCCAAAGGCATGATCTGAAAAAGAAAAAAACAGTTACTGAATAAGAATTAGCGTTTGATGAAAAGTTGAAAGAAGGCATACACAAATTATTTTGGGAAATTTCAAATCGGAGGGGTCGATGGATGTTTTTCTAAATATGTTATGACTTTCTGAAATGAGGTTAAGTTGAGGCGAAGATAAATCTGTAGTAGTTAGTAGTTGCCAGTGTTCAATATACAACAAAATTCAATTGAAATAACAAAAGTATTTTTTGGTTTTTTGTCGTGGTCTGTAGTTTTTTATGCCTGAAGTTTCGTCTACTACTGCGGTAGACATTATCAAAGGCGATGTGGTAACGATCGCAGTGCCCAAGTTGGTGCTCCAGTTTCAATAGAAAAGAAGAGGCAATGAACATCAAAAAAGTCTGGCTACCTGTCCTTAGAAGTACTTATCTTAACGTATTGGAGGCTAAAATCTGTCTCCGTCTTCAGAATTGAAAAAAGTCCAAGTATATTAGCAGTTGTCAGTTGAAAAAAAAAAAGAATTAGCTAAGAGAAAGTACTAATATACTCGGATTTTTTCCAATTCTAAAGACGCGATCCTTAGTCAGATCTCGAATCCACCACACTGATTGATTCGTGAAACTGATTTTAATGATAACTGGTTGGTGAACATATAATCAGTTTCACTATTATTTATATGTTGAAATATATTTCTGGAAACGGCGGCAAAGTTATTGAAGTGAATAGTGATGTGCAAAACTCGACCGTTAGTTTTTATTATACTAAATTCAATGAAAAATTCATCATAGGATGAATCAATTCAAATATAATAGTATATTATGCAACGATCATGTAATGATGGTTATTAAGACACGAGCATTAACCGGGATACGAAACGAGCCGAAGGCGAGTTTTGTATGGTATATGCGAGTGTATTAATAACCATCACATGAGAGTTGCATACGCTATTTTTTCTAAACCCGATAAATAATGAAAAACTATAAATATTATATTTGTATTGAACACATTTACAGTAATTAACTCATATTTTTTTTAAAAAACACAAACTCAATGGTATTATCATGGATATATGAAAAACTATAAAGATTCCAATTATATTTATATTGAATATAACAACTGTAATTAATCTGATCTTTTAAAAATATTGGAGTCGATGGTATTCCTTCTATATCGCTGTTTTCAGACATTTTGATAATATAGGTAGGTAATATGAAAACTGATTTTGACAAATAAAGCAATTAGTTACTTAGGTTAGAATCTAGGACAAACAAAGGAACAGGATTCTTGATTGAAAAATTATGGGTTTCTATTGGTTAATAATCTGTATCGTTATGAAAAATCTGTATCATAATGGATATCATTATGAAACGGATTATGGTCATATAAGTGTATTGTTAGAGTAGGGGTGTAGAAAAATAGATAGATAGATTTATTAGTCCTTTGTGCTACATTAAGTAGATGGGACAGGTCATATTTCTCAGATATAATATAAATGTGACACATACTGTAAAACTAACACATACATATTAAAATATAAGTAAAAAATAGAAATGGATCAATAAATAACATGTTACAATATATACGTAACACTGACAGTGATCTGACATTACCAACTTCAAGTAGGTATAAATTCATCTATTTTGTAGAATTATTTTTCTGATAGAAACACTTTCAACTGATGATTTTTAAAAACTTGAGGTGGCAGTGTCTTCATATCGCATGGCAGTATATTAAAGAGACGATACCAGCAAACTAAAGAGACTTTTTATACTTTGCGTGATGGTGTATGATGTATGTATGATGGGAGATAAGCATATGGTCATTCCTAATATGATAATAATGGACTTCCGATCTCGACTCTAGTTGTCTTCTATTATCATGGCTATACGTCAATGTTTTTAGAATGAACAAACAGACATGACGTTCTGTAATCTCATCTCAAAATAACATTGGAATGAATCTAATATATATAATGGATGTTTGTTGGTTGGTTGGTTGGTAAGTGATAAACTGCTACATCGCTCAACCGATCGTGATGAAACTTGACATGTATAGGTAATTTTTCATAGAGAAGGTTTTTAGGCTATCAATTTTTCTGTAACTCGCCACTAAATGGCGCTGTAGAACAATTTTTTGAAAGCACTGTTTTATAACGCATGCCTAAGTTCGTTGATTCTGATTGGACATTGGAACAGCAGCGATACAGCAACATAGTACTAGTATTCTATAAGGTAGGTTGTGAACATTTCATAATACTGTTGTAAATAAATCCCTGAAAAAAAAACGTTGGCCGCCGCTGACATTCGTCAATCGACTGTGACTACTTGTGTTTTTCGATCGTTCTGCGTTGCTTCGAGAATAATTCTATCGGCTTCCTAAGACTTCCATTGGCATAGATAAGCACCACCAACAGGCAGATTGAGTTACTCTAGTTGAAAGTGCCATAGGAAGTGAGCTGATAAGGCGATAGACGTTTGAAAATAAGTCTGGAGTTCATTTGAAATTCTTGTGTTGCATTGGCAGTGTAGCAGTGAAATGAAGTTGAGTTAAATTGTAGTTAATTATTATCGAACCTACGGGAAAATTGTAACAATACACTAGGCTATAGGGAAATTAATATCGAGTGTTCTAATATTTTTTACTGGAAATAGCACCAATTTTAGTGTTTGGTGTAGAAAAAATATATATGCGAGTACTTACCACACCGATAGCTTCAAGTGCAAATAGTACGGTTCCAAAAAACAACGGATAATTCTTGTAATCGCCAAAGGCTTCCCTCTCCTCCCACACGACATCTTGTCGGATCATGTAGTAAAGAATGATACCAAAACTTATTAAAGTTATAACGTTTGCAACAGACGAAACTGGAGCTAAGTATTTCAGGTTCTTCACATAGTTTACGAGAATCAGGGGTAGGAGGAAGATGGACATTATCCATCTTTTGTCAATGTATATACCATTGTCATCCAAAACAATTTGAATGTTCTCGCCAATGAATAATGTGTAAACTGTTCCAGTACCCAGCTGGTATACCAGGAGGAACACGTTTACGATATCTCTGAAAAAAAATAAATAAATAGACGATGATGTTTAGTCACGACATATCGAAAAGAGTTATACGAGATCCATACCATGTTTGAGTTTTTCAGGGCCATTTAATAATATACTATGAAATTTCGAATATTTCAGAGTAGTCATTTTTTGTAGACCTTTGATAGGCCGTTCATAGTCCAAAAACAATATAGTTTAAAAAATCTAAACAACACGCTTTTAAACAACATCGAACTAAAAAGTTAAAAATATCTTTTTTAATAAGTTTAAAACAATAACGAACGAAAAATACTAGTATAATTGTGAAAAAAGTGATAGCCGCTTGATATACGAAAAATATGGCTCATAGCGCCCACGTTTTCTTCACAATAATACTAATATTTTTCGATCGTTATTGTTTTAAGCTTATTAAAAATAATTAACTTTTCAGTTCGATCTTCTTTAAAAGCGTATTTTTTAGTTTTTTAAACTATATTTATTTTTTACTTTTCAGTTTCATGTGCTATAAAAGCGTGTTTTTTAGTTTTTCAAACTAAATTTATGAAATATTCAAGTAACTGAATTTTTTAGGTGTACATTTTACGATAACGTTTTCATTGTTGAAATCCATATTCTGGTTTGCTTTCGAATAATGGAATTAGATTTTAAAATGTATCTTTCGTTTCGTTCAAAACTTTTTTCTGTACTAAATCACCGGTAATTGAAAATATTTAAATATCTCAATATGTCATCTGTAGTACAAAATTTCGCTAACACTTATAATTCTTAAAATCCATTTTTTATTTTGATTTTCTTTTGAACAACCTATCAAGGAGGTTACGTACATAAATTTTATTCTACCAAATTTTATTATTCTATTATGTATAGCACTTTCAATGGTCTTGATCAGTATAACTTTTACCGCAAGAATAGGGTATGTAACGAATGCATTTTTTTGTATTTAAACGGTTTTATTTAGCTTGCCCTTTTTGTTTGAGTCAAATTTAGTAGAAGTATGACCCTCTTCCTGTTGACAGGTTGATCTGATATTTGGTACACACATTTAGTTTTGATGACACCTAAATTCTGTATCATTGTAAATCCAAGATGGCCGCAACTACCAAATGACGGATTACATAATATACTTTCACAACTACCTCAATATGGGTATCAAATAACAGGGGTTGACTAGTATATGTATACTATAGAAATACACCATGAAAATGATGCAAATCCAATATAATCTATACAAAGAACTTTGTCAACTCAGAATCGGGATACAAGCATGGATCTCCCATGGATCTCCCACTACAGTGAAGAGTTTGTATCGTTTTGTGAACTGTGTGGCGTTAGGCTAGCTAAAAATGATACGTCGTTAATGATACGGTAAAAAGTTAAAACTTGCCGAGAATTATGTGGCATTAGGGTGGATTGAGATAGCGTAGCACCGAACCAGTGACAAGAGAATCAATCGCACAGTCGCTTGCGCATGGTGTTTCACATCTAAAGTAATAACTGTATTGAACTAGTTGATGAGCTCTGTGGATAGTCCAGAAATAAAAAATTGGTTTCTATCAAGAAGGTTTATTTGACAACAACAAAATGATGAATTCCTCAACTATTTATTGTTACTAATCTCTGTACAATAATAACAACATCGGAATATTGAACAGAATTGCCAACTTAGATATAAAAAATGTTCAACATCCCCTGTTAATTCTGTAATACCAAAGTTTACCGAATACTATAAGTTGGTTCACTCCAAGGAATTCGTTTGTCGGTACGGCTCAGGATTGCATTTTTTGCGATTTCCATAANTTTAATTTTTTTTATAAAATATATAAGTTTTTGTAAATATTGTGACAGAAAACAGAAAGCCTTTTTGTTTTCATTTAAGTTTGTAATTTGTTCTGTGCTACCATCTTGTGACGTTCAATCTAGTTGTATTTGTTACTCACAAATTACAGTTTTCTGTCACTCGTTTCTTTTTCAGATACGTACCTTTCAGTAAGACAACTAACACTTCGTTAGTGGATAATATTTTCTTTAGGACAATGATTTTTCACCAACGTTTTTTCGATTTGAGGACTCGAAATATTTCTTAGTTAAGTGCGATACGATTTCGCTGGTTTTTCTATTCATGAGTCGAATTAAATTATTATCTGAAAACATTTTGCTAAGCTCCTTAAATAACTGAGGTTATTGCGCAAAATTCGTGCATTGACTTCATATTCGAAGTTGATGTTTCGAATTTGAGAAGACATTTTTGGGTTTTGTGTTCATTTGTGTTGTGTATATCTTGACCTTATTTGGCCTTAAAATATTATTCACAATGATTTTGTTATGTGAATCATAATTCACATCGTCACGTTGAAGACTTCCCAATACAGTACTATCAATCTAACTGAGAAAGGAACGGAATCGGTAGCTTGAGTGTGAATCATTTTATTCAACCACTATATTATTGTCATTGTCAATCTTCAGACTTGTCATAGCTTTATTCAAAGAATACAAAGCCCATAGAAGCTCAGAAGTGGCATTTTCGTGTCACCTGAAATTTTCAGTACTTACCCTGACCACCAGAGGGCGATAACAATACGATGGCAGTATTTAATGTGAGCAATGTGAGTATCTACAGAATTGGGTAGCTAGCAGCAGAGAACACTGCTTTGTAGCTAGCAGTCGTTGACAACCAGTCGACCGGATCATATAGATGCCAAAATCAAATTGAATTAAAAAGCCGACTGGTTTGTCGACGACTGCTAGCCAGTTTTGTTGGTAATCACATTAAATACTGCCATCGTATTGTTATCGCCCTCTAGTGGTCAGGGTAAGTACTAAAAATTTCAGGTGACACGAAAATGCCACTTCTAAGCCATTTTAAGCTTGTATGAGCTATGAATTCTGAGCTTCATTTGCGGAATTCTGCCGCATAGCAGTCAAGAGTGAAGGTAACGCAAACGTAGGGAGGGGACATGCACGTATTGAAGAATGTTGCTCTGATTCGACCGTTGGGCAAGAGATGGCATAGTCCTTCCGAGCACCAATTTGTACTCATAAACACTATATGAATAGTACACGAATTTAGTTCATAATTGTCCATTAGTCATTGGACCCTACGGTTTGTAGGTTAACGACTTCTTCGTTACGAAGTACTGACCCGTTTCTCGTGTCTATAGTGATAATGAGAATGAGTAGAACTTGTAAACTTATGTTACAAGTTATCAAGGAGATACTGGAGAGAATTGCGAGGTGTTTGGTTGACACCCGTTAATTCTCATATCTGGACGCAGGAATAGTCAGGCTATGACAGCCCCCCATTGAAGGCAGGCATCTTTTTAGTCAGACATAATCTCCTGATTTATATAGTAGCTTGTAGCGAAGTAGCTTGTGGCCGTCAACCCGTAGAATGTAATATAAACACAATTTATTTTGTCTTTTTTACTGCCGATAATCGCTTAAGCTTGTCACCCTTGTCCAGCTACAACCAGCATGCTGAAGGTGCTTGCATATGCAATTGGCAATACAACTGAAAGAGTCGACCTTCAATTATGGAACGGGCACACTTTCAAGACCGGTTTCGGGCTTATTAGCCACTCATCAGTGCAAGATAGTGACCATCATCGACGTCAAGTCAATGATATTCCACAATTGAAAGAGGAATGAAATACTCTGAAAGAATTCCGATTTTCAAATTTCAAAGAAAAAACAATTAGGTTATAATCAGTGCAATAAAGATACACTACAATTATGTAACGTTTTTCGTTGAAATGCAAGTTTTATGTATAAATCACAATTTTTGCCGGTATTACTTAAACCTTACAACAGTAATAATGAAACAAACTTTGAAATTAAACATAAAATTGAAATTTAAAAAAATTGAGTATTTTTCACAAAATAAAAAATAAACTCTTCTTCAAAATAAACTGATCTAGGTAGTTATGCTTATATTAGTGATACTAATTATTTTAATGACATCGTTTGAAATACGTAGGTTGTATCAAAATTATCGTTTGGTACATACATACTACTATACTATTGAAATATACTTTCATAGTAGGAGGTATAATAACTGGGAATCAAACCAGCATCAATGAGGCTCCTTATGTCAGTCTTCTTTCTTTCGGATATTTCCAATTTACGCTGATAATGCGGTTTGACTTCTGTATGACGATTATTTCTATTTGTTCTTTTACTCAAATCAAGCTCTTTAAAATCATCAAACTACCAAGTCTTGTACTGTATTTTAATCTCATTATGTTCATTTATCTCAATTTTGATAACTTTTATGTTTGACTCAACAATTTGGCCATCTACATCTTTATTTATTCTAGGAACTGGTAGTTGTTTTATATCTATGAAATTACCGTAACCCATTTCATTTACAATGAAAGGTGTTCCACGTTTTTTAGCGCCTCCAACAGCAGAAATATATTACCAAGGCACGTATATGGCTCCGGATCTAAAACATCGTTTAACTTGTTTCTCTATTACAGATTGTATCGCATCTCTCTCATTCTAAGTATGACCGCGTATCAGCAACTTATGTGTTATGGACTTAATTTTTAAGTATTGGACTGCGAACATATACACTCCGATAATAAACTGGTTCTCCTGCTGACCACAGCAATTATCAGAGTAAAAAGTTATGTCCAGATATTCGTCGGCACAAGAAGTTTTTTTTGCAAATATTTTGATACACAAGTACCTATTTCTTTTGCTCCTCGGTGTCCTTGAGACAGGTGAATCATGGATATATGCTTATGGGCCGGAAATAAAACAGGAATCGACCGTGTGAGTATTCCAAGACGAGCTAAATCCAACAAAAGTTGTTCGTGGAAGAAGCACAGCAAAGCAAATAATCGCCTGTGTCTTCGGCCGAATGGGTCATGTGGCCACTAATCCGCTTGAGCAACGTAGAATGGTCAATTCTGAGTGGTACACGACCATTTGTTTGCCGCAAGTCTTCGGAAAAATTCGTAAAACTAACCGCCCAAGATGAACCATTATCCATCATGACAACTCGACATCTCGTCGAGTTGTCAGGTGAATTTTTGAGCAGTCAAAACAACGAATTGATGACTCATCCTCCGTATAGCCCTGATTTGGTACCCAATGATTTCTTCTTGTTCTAGAATATCGAAGGTAAACTGCGTGGTCAACGATTTACGAGCGCCGAAGAAACAGTTGAAGCGTTCAAAAATCATGTTTTGGAAGTGTCTCAAAAGGAACGGAAAAACTGCTTTGATCATTGGTTTGACCCAATGCAAGACAATAAAGACATTTCCATTAAAAATGTTTGTTATTATTTGCTATTCCCGACATATAAATAGTACCCCTTGTATCCTTTGAATTATGATCTACATATCATAACTGATACTAAGGCCAAATACACGAAGTAGCCAACACTACGCAAAAAATGAATGAAATCCTCATCCGATATCGTCGATTAGATGCTTAACATGATCTGGGTTATAATACTCAATTTTATCTGTACTTACTGTGCATATGGAGCGACTTTTTGAAAAAATGGAGGCCCTTCTTCACATGCCACTTCTGCTGTCATTTGGTAGTTCATACTAGGAATTTTTCGTCTTTTACATAGCTCATATTCGCAGCTTACTAACATATAAATGCAGTATGTACATAAAAATCCTATCAAAGCAGTAGCCACCACACCTAGAATGTATCCCGAGTGGACAAATGCCAAAGGCATGGCAAGAATCCCGGTTCCAAGGCTTCCTTTGAGGAGGTGGAGGAACGTTTCTTTGCTCCTTGAAAGAAAAAATATTTTCGTCAGTTTATTAGTATAACTGTAGAATGTTTGCTACTTTCCGTGAATCCATTCCCATAACACATTTGTTGAAACTATGATTTGTAAAGAGGGGGGAACTTCAAGTATACTTTTTTATAACCAATTTAATAGCTATTTATGATATGAGTGTTGAAAGTAAGGTTACAGAGTTTATTTACAAAATTTGTTTAAAATTGAAAACAATATTCGATTTGAATTCGCCATCACCTACGTATTTTATTTATAATCATTGATTTATCGATAGTTCATCAACTATATATGGCGCGTTTTCGACCGGAGGCACCGGTTGACCTGAAGTGATGCTGTGACCGCGCGCTCTCCGCCCTCTATCTCGAAAACGGTTCACCGTATAACAAATTTTTTTAAACAAAATTTGTAGAGAATTTTGTATTCTACAATATTGATAATAGATACAAATAGCAAATAGGAAATGAGATATTTCCAAAAAAAGCGCAAAAAACCGATATTTGTGACCTTTGACCTTGAAATTCAATAGTTGCTTACACCCTACCATATGTAGGTTTTGAGACAACTTTTAGGGTGTCAATTACAAGTATTTACAGACTTACAGCTGGGTATCTCGAATTCCGAGATTCTTACCTAATTTAAGCTTAAATGACTGGATTATATAATCTGAAAAAAGCTACAAAAAATACAGGTGCATATTCAAAATTTTAATGTTGTAGTTGCTCCAAACCGGACGACATCCTGTATAAAAATTCTATGACCATATTCTAATAGTCAAATGAAAGTACTTATGGTGTGGGGTGAATAGATTTTCAATATTTCTACAATATTTCTAGAATTTTTGTTCTACCCTGTACCTCCGGAAACAATATGGCTCTGTATAGTGAAACTGAATGAAGAGACTGAACAATCTTCAGATATACTTACGTCGTTGGGTGCTCAACTTCTCTATTATTATACGGATCATATTCTCCAGCTTCTACAGATTTCTTCAAATCTTTGATTTCGACAGTGTGTGATTTGCCTTGTGACTCATGTGTTGAAGTATCTCTCGCATTTATGACGGCCGAAATCCTGAAACAAGAATATTATTTGGTATCCATGACAATAAAACAATGTTCACACTAATAACTTTACTAAAGACATGTTTCGCTACAGAATAGCTTCCTCAGTAGATCTGGTACATTCAACTGTTCTACAATAGAAGGTTACAGAACTTAATTAGCTCGGGTAAACAGGTAGATTTTACGACAAAGTGAATATACTGTACAATAATAATTGTTGGTAAGAAGGTAACATTTAAACAATAAGTGGTTAATAATGATTGATTCTCAGAATTGTACGATGAGCGATTAACTTCTTGTTGATTGTGTAATGGGGTATTTGATTGTTTTCGTTTATTGATGTCCAGATATTCAAAATTTTCTTTTTACTTTCTTTATGTATGTCGTAGTTTATGTTGAAATTACCTGAAAAGTGGCAAGCATAGATGGAATTGAACTTTTTCAGTTCAGAACTTATTTTGTGGCCTAAAACTCTCGTTTTGAAATTTCTAGACGTTCTTCCTATATATTTTTTTTTGTACGATCCACGTGTAAGTTTGTAAACCCCTGATTTATTTCTCTTGTTGATGTTTGACTGTCTGACAGTCTGTCTAACAGTCTGGTAAGCTATGTTGATTTTCTGTTAAGATAGAATTTCTTTCTATTATTTCTGATGATTTTTCTGGTATGTCTGAGTATTTTGTAGGTGATAGTATTCTTTCTGAAGTGAAGGTATACTCGAGTAAAGACTTGTTTGAATAGCATTTTGTTGAGGATGTAATGAATAATATTCCAGTTGAAATTGCTATTTTAAAATAATAATAATAATTACAATGAAAATAAACCGTCTTCATTCACCTGAAGTAAGAACATATACAATATACAGAAAAATATTGAGGTGAATCTGTTTAAAATCTGTTCCGTTAATCAGCTGTCGCCCCCATACGAACGACAGCTCTCAGAAGTTGAGTTGAAATGAATTAAAGAAAATTACAGTACATACTGTGACAAATTAAATAATTAACTGTCTTGAACAAATTTATTTTCAATATTTCACTTAGCAACTAACGCCTAATATATTTCCACTATTTGAATTTCTTGTTTAGCCGCTCGTTTCACTTTCTGAACTGCCCTCTTGGGTCGGGAAGCCGCGTATATATAAGGTTACGGTTCCTTTTAGAAATTTGTAGTCGGTTCGCTACTCGACTAGAATTTTTCCCGGCGGTTGTCGACTGCATTCCTTCACGGTGATGACATGTGTTTTTACGCTGGCCGGCATATCGGTCAGTTGCGACTTCAGATTCGTTACAATACATACATTTTCAAAAAATTATTATTATTCGGTCACCAAATCTTTTGCTCAAACGAATGGGCCACGTGATCACCAAGTGATCAGTTGGTGATCAAAACACGTGTCGAGGTGTCAAAATAACGGTTTAGTGTTGGGATTAAACTTCAGCAATATTCATTACTACACCAAAGGTTCTAAACAGTGCATCACTAGTTCATCTTGTGTGGCTGAAACTCATTTCGTCTTTCGTCTTTTCATATAAACAATCGTTTTTCGTATGTTATGGTTCAATTACCGTTTTTTACATGGCATCTTGTGAAACAAACTTTTTCCAAAACTATCATTGACCTCTTGAAGCGCGATAATATACTCAGAATCGACGGGTTTCCTTTCTTCATTGAATTTAATAAGAAAGTACTCAATACAATCATCAAACAAAATAACTCGTCCCAGAAACATGTTCAGGTCATCTTTGAATTTTTTGTTATTTTCATATTCCACAGACTGAAAAATACGTGTATAATGGAGAAGATGAAAAGGTGGACTGCTAGTATCACAAATATGAGTTAAATACTTTAATGATGACTGAAAGATACTTAGTTTGAATCATAAATCAGAAAAAGCTTTTTTCTGTTGTAAACTATTTTCATATTCACTCTAACAACGTTTCATTATCAACAGGACTTTGAATAAATCAACAGGGCTCTAAATAACCGTGCTGATCCTGTTGGTAGCGTAAGGAGTTGGTGCAGTTATTGATATTCTGTAACAATTTTGATATAAGATGTTATCAAGGTGGTCTGCTGTTGAGCCAAACTTCAATATCAATAGTCAATCGGGATTTGTCCTCTGTTTTTGACTGCAGCTTCAGTTGCAAAGCAACTAGTTGAAACCTGAGCCCAAAAACTAAGATGGCGTAGGGACTATTGCTCTTTTGTTCCATGAAATCTTGTAGATTATACGTTTACTTCTTCAGAAGTTCCCGGTAGATGGTGCCATTAGTCTAGATGTATATCTTTTTTAGTTATCAACTCACCTATGACGTAATTTATTGCATGTACTAAGAGTTTTTCTGATTATGTACTCAAATAATTTTGTGAGGTTACTCACATAAAAACGCAACATTTGTAATTTGATTTGAGTTTGTCGAATTCGGAACGATACCGATCAACATGAGATTCAAGAGCGTCTAATGCATCCAGATAAAGTCACTGTTTGGTGTTGATTTTGGGCTGGCGGCGTCATCGGTCTATATTCCTTTGAGAACGACGTTGCCAAGGCCATCACTGTCAACGGCGAGCACTATAGGTTGATGATTACCAACTTCTTTTGCCATGAACTGGATGATCTGGACACCAACGGCATGTAGTTTCAATTAGACGGCGCTACGTGTCACACAGCTCATGCCATATTAGTTATACTGCACAAGCGATTTGAAGGCATGGTCATCTCACGTGGAGGTGATGTGAAGTGACCACCGAGATGGTACGATTTGATCCTGTTGAACTTTTTCTTCTGGACTCTTTTGCAGACTTTTCAACCGGTCTTAAAAGCGAGGGGTTTCTCCTTCTTGCTGAAAGATTGCTCACGTTCACCCTATTTCCAAAAAAGGCAAAAAAATCTTCCAAATATCTCTAGACCAGTCGCTTTGCTATCAGCGATATCAAAAATCATGGTGAAAGTCGTAAATCACCATATCCTCAAATATTTGGAAGGCATCTACATCTTGAGCGATCATCAATATGGCTTTCGGAAAGAAAGATCAACAGGTGACCTTCTATCGTGTCACCCATATTTGGAATAACGCAATCGAGAAACATGGAGAATCAAGAGCTGTTGCGCTTGATATTTCTAAGGCCTTTGACTTCTTTGAGGCCTTTGATCACTTGGTGATTGAAACACGTGTCGAGGTCTTTGAACTTTTTCTTCTGAACTCTTTTGCAGACTTTTCAACCGGTCTTAAAAGCGAGGGGTTTCTCCTTCTTGCTGAAAGATTGCTCACGTTCACCCTATTTCCAAAAAAGGCAAAAAAATTTTCCAAATATCTCTAGACCAGTCGCTTTGCTATCAGCGATATCAAAAATCATGGTGAAAGTCGTAAATCACCATATCCTCAAATATTTGGAAGGCATCTACATCTTGAGCGATCATCAATATGGCTTTCGGAAAGAAAGATCAACAGGTGACCTTCTATCGTATGTCACCCATATTTGGAATAACGCAATGGTGAAACATGGAGAATCAAGAGCTGTTGCGCTTGATATTTCTAAGGCCTTTGACTTCTCTGAGGCCTTTGATCACTTGGTGATTGAAACACGTGTCGAGGTCTTTAAAAATGACGGTTTGGTGTTGGGATGAAACTCCAGTTATATTTATTACTACACCAAATGTTGCAAACAGTGCATAACAAGTACATAGTGGAAAACTTTTACAAAGGAATCTTCTGAAACATGAAGTGATGAATACAACAACTTTTTCAGAGATGGGATCAGCTCAGACTAATTATAGATCTACACTGTTTGCTTCTGAATGAATTGAGGTTTTTTAACGGAGCTGCAGCCAATGTAACAAAGGAACAGAGACAGCTCGTCAAGTCTCATGTGAATTTTTGGCAAACAATTCAAAGACAATCCAAATAAAATGTTTTTGTAGTATTTTAAAATGAAGGAATGCTTACGTATGATGCCAGAATATTTGTTTTGTTAGCTTTAACAAAACTCTTAATGAATAAGAAATGTTTCATAAGTATCTACCTTCTACGGCTCTCCTTCCTGTCTCCTTGGTTAAATTTTTCACTCATTTTTACATTAAAGTTTTGAATTTTCTAACGTTAAACACAATGGAAATCAACACACTTTTATACTCGGTGTACTTATCAACTACTGTACGATTGTCCTGGAATGAGAAAAAGTTTATGACTTCATTGTTAGATTTTCTATCGACCGTATACTATAGAGTTGGTTCTTGATTCGAATATTTACAAACTCAATTACTTCAGGTATTGAAACATTTTATTATATAAACAGGGCCGAAACTGATTACCCCACCAGTCCTTGAATGAAGTGGAGATAACTTACGAATATAGTGATGAGATAATCGAGCACTTGTTGATATGACTGAGGTTTTGTTGCAATATTTGAATATATCAGGGCTTTTCACTGATTTAGGCACAGGTACGGCATAAGCCGTACCTGATTACCTTATAGCGTTGACAGACCTGAAAAGAGTCAATAACTATTGTTAGTATCTACAATCGTCTTCGGGTGATGACTGGACTGATTCCTCCGAGAGATGACTATTTATGGGTCATTCGAGTACTTTCACTTATCTCTTCTTTCAGCTTCACCGGTATAGCAGGAGATGACCGTTTGGCGCTTGATTATGGTTTTCCATATGTTGCGTATCTCTAAGCTAGCTTGGCTGAATACATTGTTGGACAGCATGTATGCGGCTTCTCTGAATTTCCCCCTCAACCAGCGTTCCTCCCTGTGAATGATCTCAGCTTGGGACCACTTGATGTTATGTTGATGGGTCCAAACATGCTCAGTTAGGAAAGCCAAGATAAAACAATACATTAGATCAGAAAGTAAAAGCACCTAGAGGCTGAATTTCGACCATAGAAGGTCAGATGTCAATCTTGCTGAAGTTCCCATCAGTAAGTTGAGGACCGCTCCGGTGGAGCGGGGGTGGATGGACGAGATGGGATGTTCTGCACACAATAACCTTGTGGAGAAGATTTCAACTCAGGGCACTCAACCCGGAAGGGGGCATGGGGAAGGGGGAGCATCGTAGTTACCGCGTTCAAATGGTAACACCTCCAGCACCAACTTAGGAACTGCAACCGTTACCACATGGCCTCTGGCCAACTAGCAGTTTTATATTTCATAATAGTTGCGAAAACGTTCTGAAGAGGCCAATTATTGAACTGTATTTCTCCCAGAAATGTTTTCATTGTGTTTATAAAACAGTTATAAGTAGGAAATTGGCACCGTTTTATAAAACATTGTATCTGTAGAGTAGGCATGGTGAGCGTAAGCCCACAGTACTTAGGCCACATGTGACCCATTGTACATCCTCCCGAGGAGTTGTCCTCTTAGGTCATCGTCCATCCTTTACATCCTTTGGTTTCGTCCCATCTCTTTAAGGATTGAGCATGGGAGTAACACTTGACTAGTTCCGCAATTGTCGAAGTCATCAGGCCGTAGGTGCCACTGGGTCCTAAAATTCTCAGTCCAGCCGCTTCCTTGGCTAAAAAGTCGGCAATGCGATTACCTTTACTCCTGTCGTACCCTTTAACCCACCTCAGGATAATGTTATTATCTACAGAGGCTTTGGCTAAATCTTGGTCACACTCTAGTACTAGCCCTGAGGTTATACGTTGTCTGTTCAAGGCTAATAGGGCTTATCTGCTGTCAGTGCAGATTATTATGTTTTTGCCAGAAATTCCTTTCTTGGTTAATTCTTTTGTGGCGATTGAGATACCAGCCAGTTCGTTTGGACCACGCTGGTATTTCTTTCCATTCCCCACTTAATTCTTAGGCTTAGTGATCTGGAGTACACTCCATATCCTGAGCTTTCTTTGGTTTTTGAGCCGTCTGTGTAAATCCGTATGGCATTTGTATCATCCGACTCTATGTTCTGCTTCATTTGTATTTTGTAGGGTTTATTAAACACAAACCTGGGTTCAATTGCATCGCTTGTTGCCTGCAGCAGAGGTTGCGCAGTAAGCGCTTCTCGCCACAGGCCCAGCCTCAGTTGACCCATACTTCCAGGTTCACACCAGTCGTGCGCAATCGTACCATGGCCATCAAGGCCACCTCCTTGAAGTACAGATCAAGAGGGGTCAGACCCGTGATCAATTCCATTGCCGCGGTTGGTGTTGTTCTCATGGCTCCTATGATGGTTAAACAAGCCATTCGCTGTATTTGGTATAATTTTTGGATGGCCATCACTTGTAGAACTTTCGGTCCCCATGCAATGGCTCCATACGTTAACATAGGTCTTAGTATTGCAGTGTAGATTCAGGTGACCACACGGGGTGAAAGACCCCATGCACGTCCCACTGTCCTCCGACATTGCTCATAAGCCACGTATGCTTTTTTTGCTCTACTCTGTAGATGAGAGTTCCATGTTAGCTTTCTGTCGAGGATAGTACCAAGGTATTTTACCTCTTCAGAGAAGTTTAGTTTGCTTTTGAAGATTTTGAAACATTGTAGTATTCATGAATATTTTATAAGGCCTTCTACAAATAGATACTACAGAACAGTTACTATAGTTACTACTAACACCTTTAAAGTAGTTTTGTGAAGATAAAATAATAAAAAGACAATTTTATAAGACTTTTAAGTAGTTCCAAGTAAGCGTTATAAAATATAATGCAGCCTAAAATGAGAACGATAGAAAAAAGTGTTCAAAATGTTTTCTTAAAGGCGCAAGAAGTGATTTTGTATTCGACATTAGAAAAATATAATAGATATGTCACCAGCTAAAAACTAATAAATAGAAAGGCTGAAGTCATTTTAATAATCTCTTTTTTGTACTCATAAATCTGTTGAAGACATTGTGATTCAAATAATAATATTTTTACTGTGAATGAAATTTCATTAACTGATATATAGCGTATTATTACCAAAATTTAAGGGCACCACTCATTCATTAATATTATTTTCGGAAAGAATGTTGACGTTTAATTTTCTAGTAGCAAACTCAACTTGGTTTATTGTGAATAATATAATCTTATACTATCTAGGTACTTTTCAGCTGTAAATATCACTATATGTGCGGATTTCCAATTTTCAACTCATCTAATGTCAGTATTCCGAATTGCTATCATTTTAAATTGGCGTCGTTCTATAAAATAATTTGGTATCAATAGCAAACATTTCAACATATTTTAGCTACAATGTTACCCCTATAAAAGTGTTGAGAAACACTTAGTTCTAAGTGCGACTATATTGCGGCAGAGTCTGACTACTTTTAAAACTATAGATTCCTACAAAAGTGCTTGTATGAAGATAGGATTTCTCACTTGGATAAATATTATGTATCGGAACAAATTATACTTCATTTCACGACCTCTAAAATCAGTGTCAACTGGTTTTTCTTTAATGCTTCATTTTATTCCTGACAAAAACAAATATATATTCGCGAAAGCAATTTGATTTTATAACAATATTGGAATTGTAGTAAATATACCATGCTATAAAATAGTTGGCGAATTATTATTGAAGTGACAAAATGGTAATGAAAACTGTGTTTAACAGCTTTCCAATAAAATAATTTCATTAAAGCTACAAGAAGCAGTTATAAAATGAGATTGAAATTGTTTTATAAAGATCATTCAAACCTCCTAGAAAAATGCTATAAAACTGCTACAAAACAATTCACTTTTATAGGAAAATATGTTTTATAAGTTAGTTGTAAAAACGTTTCTGTGATAATTTCGTGACTATTTTATAACGGCTTCCTTTATTTTCATTTTATAAACTTCTCTATGACAAATTTATAAAACATTTTTATTGCCTACAACTGTGATGTGTTCACGGTTTGTTTAATATAATCAATTAGCATTTTGGAAGAATTTATGGAATATTAACAAAATAAAACTGTTGCAGCAACATGAAATCATGAAACAATTTTGCAGGTTGTAATACTACAGACCACGGCCAAAAAACCCGGAAAATAGCTTTCACACAACAATTTATTTATCATTTATCACAATTGTCTATACCTAAAACCCTAAATGCGAGTTATTTCAGAAAATTTCAGTGTTAGGAATCACACGTTAAAATGTTAGACCTCGTTAATCCTTGGCTCGCACAAGTTTACACTTTTGAGGATTGTCGTTCATAGAAGTGCGACAGCTGGTTAACGAAAAAACAGAATACATTCGAATAAATCGACTAGTCAAAATTTTAATTGTTAGACAATCACTGCGATAGTAATTTTGAATTGATAAAATTTTATCTAAAACGTGATATCTGAATAACATCATTCTTCCATTTTGTCATTTATTGAAACAGTGAAACACTTGACAACACAAAATTACAATATCATCAGGTATCATGAGAAGTTCAAGATGACGTTCTCTGTACAGATGATGCAAGAATCAAATATAGTACATCAAATTCAGCGACAAAGTGTCTTCAACCACTTGAAGCTGGTAGACGATTAGTATTTCAGTTTATGAAATAACCGCTTCAGCAGCTGAGGCTATCAACGGCATCCTTTAACAATTTATACAAGATCGGTAGTGTGTAACAACGTTTTTCTAAAATATCTTCAAGATTCTTAGGTGGGTTTTGTTCCAGTCCCTCACAGCGCAAATTGGACAATCTGTCAAAATGTGTATCAGTGAGAGTTCTGGTTCACACATATGGCAAGTTGCTTTCTATCTGTAGTATTTATGAGTTAGTCTAGTTAACTCTAGTGAAGCTAGGTGATTGTTATTTCATAGGGTATTATTTACTGCTGCTGTTATTTCCGAAATGTTTCGAAAATAGCTCTACACGATTCGCTGTTAGGAGCTCTCGCGATACATCTCAAAATTCGTTTTTGTGCAATGAATATATCTTTCGCACCTGGTGCATTGTCCCATAGACAAATGCCATATCTGAGTCTCGATTTGGCTTGGATATAAAAAACATTCACCATCTGTTTCACCTCTATAACAGATCGTGAACTGATAAAGAGGAATTTCAAAGAATTCAGTTTGGAAGATAATTGTTGAGAGTGGAATTTTCAAGAGAGATGTTCATCCGGAGATACTCCCAAAAACCTAACCTCTGCATAGTAATTTCACCAATTTTAACTTCAATATCTTCAATGTTTCTTTGGAGACAGTGAAATCTTATCATCCGAGTTTTTCGAATGTTGAACAATAGGTTCCTGCTGTTGAAAAAAGTCGTTTACATACGTAGTATAGTCAGCAGTACCAATGATAGATAGCATCAAGATGGTTTACATACAAAGTGAACAGAATTGGACCCAAGATCATCTAGAGGCTNTGTTGAAA